ATTTATATTTTGAAAAAAAAAAACTAATTTTATTTATTTGTTTTAACTTTGTTTTTGGATAAAATAAATGAAGAACATAATATTAATTTTTTTGAAAATATTCATTTATTTTGTATCTTTAAAATATTTTTTTTATTTTTAAAATGAATGTCCAAGATTGCATCTCATGTGTCACAAAATCTGATGGTTTCACATAAATCTAACTCACTACAAACAAATTTAATTTTTTTTTTATCATAAACAAAAGATTTATAAATAACATATGTTATCATAAACAAAGGATGTGATTTAAGATTTTTTGAATGTATAATTTTCAAACATTGTCAAGGTTTTCAAAATATAGAAGGAACCATTTCCAAAATAATAATGTATTTCGAAAATTTGGATTTTATGGTTATAAAGATTATTTAATAAAAATATGGTTATCATATGAAATTATCTTAGCAAATGTGGTTATTGAGATAAAAAATCAAACATCTTCTTATTTTTTTTCCTATCAACTTACTTTACATTTAATGTTGTGATATTTGTAATATTTAGTCAAATTAATAAATTTTTATTATCTTTTTTATCATCTAAAAATCATTGGAAGATAGATAGAAAGAATAAGTAGGAAGATGGTTAATTTCTCTATAGAAAAATATCTTTTAAAATAAATATACTTTTTACTATTTTAAAATTATAAAGGGTTGATTTCAAAACATAAAGAAATTATTTTAAAATTTTAAGAACAAATTCAAAAATGAATTAAAAAAAAATAAAAATAAGTTTTTGTTTAAATTTTAATGGATCTTTGTGTTGAGAAAGATTTACAATTTAAAAAAAAAAATCTAATAATAGATTAGTTACAGAATGAATGATTATTTTGTATATTTGTCTAAACATTGATCAAAACATTATATATGATTAAGGGCGTGTTTGGTAAAAGTAGCTATTAGTTGGAAGCGGGTAGCAGTTAGCTGGTAGCAGGTAGCTGGTAGCGTGTAGTTGGTAGCGGAAAGTTGTAGTTTTTATTTGTTATAAGAATGTTTGGCAAAAGTAGCTGGAAGCTTTTGAAATATATAAAATTACATAAAAGGACAATTGATTAAAAATAAAATATATATATAAATATATTTTTAAAGGTAATTATGGAAATTGATTTCAAAAGCTCCGGAGCGTTTTGTTAAAAGCTACATGAAGTAGCTTTTAGAATCGGAGCGTTTTGTTAAAACTAAAAGCTAAACGCTCGTACTGTTAAACGAAGTTTTTTGTTTAAACTATAGCGTTTTGTCAAAAGCTAAAAGTTAGAAGCTCTCAAACGCTTCTAAAAAACACGCCCTAAGAGAAATATATATTTTTATTGAGTATCCCAAGAAATAATCTTGTTTCTTAGTTAAAATCAATTATATATGTACATATTGACTGAAAGTATTCAAAGATGGGTCCCTAGTATTTGCTTTCCAAGTATCAAGTCAACAACGATAGGCGATCTCATATTCTCATCCAGAAACCACAAATATATATATCAACAGGTCACCAGCGGACTAATCTCGACTTTGACATGATTGCTTTTATTTTGTTTGCAACAGATTATCCCATATCTCTAATAAATTTTAGGAAATTAAATAATCTAACCACTAAAAATAACGGGGTTTTCAATGAATATAACCATTTTTGTATAGGTTTTGTAAAATAACAATTTTCTTCATAATACCTAATTTTGGAGTCTCTCTCTCAATTAAAAAAAAAAACAAAAAAATAATAATAATAATTTATGGGATCCGAATGCTACATTTCGAAATGTTTGATTTCACTTATTTTTAATAAAATATCTAAACTTATGCATTAATATCGTATATAATTCGCATTACTATGTTTGTCTAATATTTTGTTAATTTTAAATTAAAAAGCGATTTTTTTTCTCGAAATTTCGGAGTTTTTTTTCCAGATTTCGGACTTATTATTGAAATTCCGGATTTTTTTCCCGAAACCCAAAATTTTAGTTCGAAATGTTGATTCGGAATCCGGAATGCCGTTTCACAATTAGTGTTTTTTTGTCAAGAATGTTTATTTAGGACTAAGTGGTTATTTTTGCTAAAAAATTTTGTTATTTTCCTAAAATACATGTTAAAAAGTGGTTAGATTACTTAATTTCCCTAAAAAAAAATTCTTTAATTTTGAATTTGTTCCATTTCGGATATCTCATATAAAACTTACATCCTCTAATTTTTTTTAATTTTGAATTTGTTCCATTTCGGATATCTCATATAAAACTTACATCCTCTTCATCTCTTATATAAGACAATACAAAGCTCTAAATTTTCAAAGCTTATCCAATATCTCTTGTAAAAATCTCTTTAAATTTCGAGCTTGTCCTACGTGAGTTCTCATATGAAACTTACACCCTGTTCAAGTGTTCATATATACACGACAACATAAAGTTCTTTATTCTCAAAGTTAGGTTTGGAATGAGTTCGGGTTTAAACACAAAATTGATCTCCCCAAACCGAAAAACCATGAGACCGAACCCATCGGTTTGGGTGTAGGGTCCGGTTTTAAATATTTGAAAACCAGTACTATTGATTTGAGTTCGTTTTTAAGTCCAAACTGACCAAAATCGACTCATGTCCGTAATTTATTTGTTATCTCTCTCTCTCTCTCTCTCTCTCTCTCTCTCTCTCTCTATATATATATATATATATATATATATATATATATATATATATATATATGTATTAGGGGTGAGCAAACCCAAACCAAGAAACCAATAAACCGACTAAAACCGACGAAACCGAAACCGAAACAAAACCGATGGTTAGGGTTTGAATTTTTTAAAAACCGAAAAATCGGGTTCGGTTTCGGTTTTTACCCAGAAACCGACCCATCCAACCCGAGAAACCGACCCATACTTAAAACCGACAAACCGTCCCAAGAAACCGACCCATCCAACCCTTAACCATATATATATATATATATATATATATATATATATATATATATATATATATATATATATATATATAGGAGTAGGATCAAATGAGAACACAAAAAAGGTTGAGAACGCGATAACAAAGTATATTCATTTGCGCTTCCATGTATTCATTTGTGGAGAAATGATAAATTTTTACGCATTTAATTTCAATTGAAAAGAAAAAACATATTCATGTTGATTATGCGTAAAAATTTATCATTTCTCTACAAATGAATAAATGGAATCAGAAATGAATATACTTATTCTCGCGTTCTCAACCTTTTAGGTGTTCTTATTTGATCTTTTCCATATATATATATATATATATATATATATATATATATATATATAGAGAGAGAGAGAGAGAGAAAGAGAGAGAGAGACTTAAGTTTAAATGAGAACAATTATGTACTTTAGAATGAGAGAACAAATTTTAACCACATAACTCATTTGGTCTAAATACTTAAAATAAAATGGCATAATTATAAATAAGAAGGGAAAAGTAGTAATTGTATATAGTAATTAAATAAAATTAACAAAACTCTTTTATCTGTATATTTCTAAACTAGGTGTGAGATTCATGTATTACATGAATTTATTTAAAAAAAATTAAATATAAAATTTTAACAATTTAAAAAGTTTGAATTTATATAAAAAATGAGAAATCTTTTGAATTATTAAAATTAATGAGACTTTAATGTGATGGAGGAGATGACATGTGGCCAAAAAAACCTTCATTTATTATAGTAGATCAACGTTCTTATTGATTGTGTCATTTGTATCATCGAGTGTTAAACAAAATCTTCAACTCTTCATCGCATTCTACAATTCCTCATAAAAAAATCTTTGATTTTTCATCTAATATCACTGATTCTTAATCCAAAATCGTTTGTTCTTTTGATTCAGTGTTCAACATTATCCAGATTCAACGATCTCATGAAATAAGTTTTATAAGTAGTTGAGATCTATAGATCTCAACATCTTCTAACATTCGATCGTTAAAATTTCATCAATCTGACATTAATCTACATCATACAACATTCACTATTCAAACATACATCAACATTGACGATTTTGATCTCAAACTCACTGTTCAGGTAAATAATTCATTCAAAATATAGTTTTTCATTGATTATTTCATAAATTTGTATCTCAATTGACTACTTTGTCATTGATTTTGATAGGATTTGATTTGCTTTGTATTTGTTGTTTTCAATTCCACATGTTTTTCCAAAATTATTGAACTTAATTTGTATGCACTACAAGTGTTTGATGAAATGCTCCAAAGAATATTTTTCATAATTTTGTTCTCAATCTACTAGTTTGTCATTGATTGTGATAGGATTTGTATTCATTTATTCGATTCTTCATATTTTACCAAAGTACTATAAATATTTGTAAAGAAGTTGTCCCAATTATATATGTTAAGTTGTATGCACGTCAACTGATTGATGAAATACCGTATAATGTCAAGTTATAACTTTTATATGTTATTCACATGTAAATAATTCATAACATTTTATATGTACCTTCAACTATTAATAAATCTACAATGATTCATATACGAATGTATATTAACATGTCAGTAAACTTCGTATCTAAATGTTATTCACATGTGAATATCATAGCACATGTATCGATAGTTTAATCACATGTAAATACTATATGATATATTTTCCATATGTGGTATTAATCACATGTGAATATGAATTGATGAGTTTTTCATTGTGTAATATTATATGATATATTTTATTTATATGAGATAATCATATGTAAATCTTTACTATATTATTAAACATGCTTATTTCTTGAAAATTAAAATGTACAATACTTATTACCTAATGTATAATAATATTAAGCTTATAATCACATGTTATACGTATACACGGTATTACCTTATCTCTTCGATGTTGCACTAATCTTCTCTACGCACAACACTACACACAACAACCGCCATCAGAAGGAAATCAAATCCCTCTTCTTTTCGTCTCCTTCCTAATCGCTTCAAAATCGACGACCCCCTGGAAGTCCACCTTTTCCGGCATTGATGTCCGCCACCCCCGTTGTCTCCCCGCTTCTACCTTCTGTCAATACGAGTAACCTTAACCCTATCCCCCCGCCACATTCAACCACCATCTGGTCGTCGTCACTACAACCTATTAGCGGGTCACAGTCCACCATTTTGATAATAAAATAACTTTTTCCTAATTTTTTGTACAGAAATTGAAGACTCGATTGGTGAAGAGAAACCTAAATCCTGTATGGGATGAAGATTTAACTCTCTCAATTGTAGAGCCTCTTCCCATTAAACTCATAGGTTGTTCTTCAATCTCTTGATTCTATTCCCCTAAATTGATTTCAGATTTTGGAACAATATTGTTGATACAAGAAGTATACGATAGGGATCTATTTTCAACCGATGATAGAATTGGGGATGCAGAATTCGACTTCACTCCATTCTTGGAAGCTATGAGGATGCGTTTGAATTCTGATATCTTAAACAACACGATCATCACAACTGTGAAACCAAAGAGGACCAATTGCTTGGCTGAAGAAAGCTACATAACATGGACAAATGGAAGAGTTGTCCAAAACATGGTTCTTAGATTACAAAAAGTTGAAAGTGGTGAAATTGAAAATAAATTTAGTTGGATTGACATTCCTGGTGGTGGTAATAAACATATGTAATTACTAATTAGCCCTTACTCCATTGATATATGCTTATGTAGTTATTTCATTCGTTTCTAGAGATCTATGTTGTAGTTTTAGATTCAATCTGTACAATGCATGTAATGATCAAACCATTATAAATTGTCATTTTATCTTTTATTAATATTTTTTCTGTAATTCTCTTTTATTAAATACACTTTCATTTATCTTCTGGTGTAATTGGGTTGCAGGTGACTTCGATTATTAAGTTTATGTTGTTGTTTTGATACAACTTTCTATGATATTTATTCTCTTTCCTCTAAACAATTCATACTTTATCTTTGTTGATTTTTAAGGAGTGTTGTATGAATCAGAGGCATTAGTGCCTTTTGTCGGGTGCCATTTTTTCCTACATTACAGTGATGCTAAATATTTAGTGCAATCTATCTTCCCGCAGGGAGATGATCTATTAACTATCAATGGTGTTGAAAATTAAGCTAGATTTACTTATAATTAAATTTCTCTTTGGTTTTGTTAGTCAAATTTGGTGTATTCAATATCTATTGTCACCATCGTTCCAATCAACATCATCTTTTGCTGGAAGTCAATACAGAAGCTATCCTCAACAATCTTATTCATAGCTGCCACAAACATTCATAATTATCCTGTTCCGGAGGCTTATCCTACTTATCCTCAGCATTATCATGCACCTGCAGCTCCCCCTGCACCTGCACCATTACCTATGGTCAACCCCATAAACCATAGAAGAAGCTTGACCGGATGTATTCAAGGTTTGCAGATAATTACACTTCATTGGAACAGCTAGAATTTCATGAAATTTTCTTATACAGTTTGCTAAATGTGATTTATCCTATCATATGGTCACTAGATATGTCAATCTTATATAGAATTTGGATAATTGATTTTGTCTTTAGTATTTTTATGACTTCTGGTATGCTAATGATTCTTGGAGAGATTTGTTTTTTCAAAAATATGTTGTACTTTTGTAATATTATGCATTGTATTGTAGTATGTGCAAGTAGTTGCTAATCTTTTTTTGTATGATAGTGGAAATTATCACATTCATATGGATTTTTATCTTGTAGGTTTAGTTGAAAGCTTCCACAATTACTAAAATGACACTTCCAAATTTTTTGCACAAGTGATTTAAGGTCTTCCTCGTGTAGGGCTCAAATCTTCTAACCTAATTGTTGGTATTGAATTCACTAAGAGCAATGAATGTACCGGTAACGTTTACGTTATTACCCTTTTTGTTCTTTTTCTTTCTTTGTGATGTGATACTATATAAGAAGCACACTAAGTCTAACTAACCGGTTACCTACAAATTGGTTTAAGGTCTTTTAATAGAAAAAGTCTACATCATATTGGAGATGATTTAAATCCCTATGAACAAGCAATAACCATTATTAGGAAACATTTGCTGCCTTTGATGAAGATAACTTGATTCCCTGTTATGGTTTTGGAGATGGTATAGTAATTTCATTATTTACAATTCATAATCCAATAAAAATATATCTTCATAAAAATCTTACAATTTTTTTTATAAAATGGCAGCATCAACAAGAAGGGTTTGTAATGGATTTGAGGAAGTCTGGAGTAGATACATGGGAATTGCCACTCATTTAAAGCTTGCAGGTTTGAGATCTTATATTCTATAATTTGTTTCTTTATATCTTGAATGATACACAAAATTTACCATTTTGCCCTTTTAACCTCTATGTTTGTATTTCATGTTTTTACAAGAATCAGTATGTGATATCTGTAGCATCCCCCTCTGGCAGGTATCACAATATTGTTCGCTTTGGGCAGGTATCACAATATTGTTCGCTTTGGGCCACTCGGCACGAGGAGTTCCCAGGGGGTCACCCATCCTGGTACTACTCCCGCCCGAGCACGCTTAACTGCAGAGTTCTTATAGGATCTGCTGCCCTCACGACTTTAAAACGTGTTGTGATAGGGAAGGTATCCACACCCCTTATAAGGAATGGTTAGTTCTCCTTCCCAGCCGATGTGGGATCAGATCTAACCCACTTTCACCCCCCATTATAGGGTTCGACGTCCCCGTCGAACACATTGACCCGTGCCCTAGCTCTGATACCAACTGTAGCATCCCTCTCTGGCACGTATCACAATATTGTTCGCTTTGGGCCACTCGGCACGAGGACTTCCCATGGGGTCACCCATCCTGGTACTAATCCCGCCCGAGCACGCTTAACTGCAGAGTTCTTATGGGATCTGCTGCCCTCACGACTTTAAAACGTGTTGTGATAGGGAAGGTATCCACACCCCTTATAAGGAATGGTTAGTTCTCCTTCCCAGCCGATGTGGGATCAGATCTAACCCACTTTATTAAAGTGGGTTAGATCTGATCATCTGATCCCACATCGGCTCGGAAGGAGAACTAAGCATTCCTTATAAAGGTTGTGGATACCTTCCCTATCACAACGCGTTTTAAAACCATGAGGGCAGCAGATCTCATAAGAACTCTGCACTTAAGCGTGCTCGGGCGGGAGTAGTACCAGGATGGGTGACCCCCTGGGAAGTCCTCGTGTCGAGTGGCCCAAAGCGGATAATATTGTGATACTTGCCAGAGGGGGATGTTACAAATGGTATCAGAGCCTGGGCATGGGTCGATGTGTTCGACGGGGACGTTGAACCCTATAATGGGGGGTGAAAGTGGGTTAGATCTGATCCCACATCGGCTCAGAAGGAGAACTAAGCATTCCTTATAAAGGGTGTGGATACCTTCCCTATCACAACGCGTTTTAAAACCGTGAGGGCAGCAGATCCCATAAGAACTCTGCAGTTAAGCGTGCTCGGGCGGGAGTAGTACCAGGATGGGTGACCCCCTGGGAAGTCCTCGTGTCGAGTGGCCCAAAGCGGACAATATTGTGATACGTGCCAGAGGGGGATGTTACAATATCTTTTATTTCATCTCATAGTTTTTATGTAATGCTTTCAAATTGTCATTACCAAAAGTTTATCAAGATTATATTATTGTTATATTCATAAACCAGATGATGATTTTGGTGTTTTGTGAATCATAATCTTTGAAGTGACCTGCCTTTTTGGAGTTTGTAGTTAGGTTTTACTAGATTTGTTGGAACACAAATGGTAGCTATGTTTACTAATCTGACTTTCATCCATAAGTTTTGAAGACAATATCTACATTTAATGCCATAAAAGAACAATTCGAAGGTTAACTTTTTGGTTGTTTTGTTGAGAAAAACATCAAATAATGCACTTTTGGAGTATGTTATATTTTGTATTTACTTAATACATGTGGTTATGATTTTTCATTTATTTTATTTGAAGAATTAAATATAAGTTACATGAATCTTGAAGTAGGAAAACGACCATTTTGCACCCTAAAGTCAAATTAAAATACCTCTTGAATGGTTGAAATGTTGGTTCTATATGACATGAAATTAATTTTTATTACTTTATTTTATGCTTGCTTATGTATGGTTCCAATATGGATATAAGTATAAAATAAAACAACATTAGTTAGATTAACACCATAGGAACCAAAATGATGATATATATGTTATTTGTTTAACTTTTGGTATAAATTTTAAAAAGTAATTTTCAATTTTTGCTAGCCTTTTCACTTTTTCCTTTTTAGAGACCCATCATGAGAGTTGGTTTATAAAGTTTAGTTAAAGTATGTATTACTTATTTAACTCTTCAGTTAACTTGTCATATATGTTGTCTGTTTCAGAAGTTTTGGTGTGTCTACAACAAAAATTGGGATGTGACAAGTACACACATTTTTGCACTTGGAGTAATTATGGGAGCTGATAGAATTATATAATCTTGGTGATTCAAAGTTGAATATGGTTGGGGTACCTGACAAAATAGCTTGGTTATAGGTCAGGTAACAAGCTATATTGTTCTGTATAATTTGAAATTGGATTCTAGGATTATGATAGGTAGTGTTTCTATTTATTCTAAATTTCTAAAGCTCCAAAAACAACCTACACATTTTCTATTTCTAATTTTACTATGGTTTTTGTTATTACTGTTGGTTAGTGTCTAAGCCCGTAACTATATTTGGTATGTACTTGACCCGGTTATGCATAGTCCTTTTGGGTTGCCTTCACCAAAAAACTTCACAAGGTTATTTAGGAGAGAGAGAAGAGATTATGATTTATTAATATATTATAAGAATAATATATTAACAGTCAAATCATATTATTTAATTAATATTGATCATAAATTAATTAGGAATTAATTTGGTGACTAAAAGAGGTTAATTGAATAAAGGGGCATAAACTGTCAAATGTGTGATAGTTGAGTTTTGGGCTGGGAAACCTCATGGACTAAGGGGGAACGAAATTATGATAGGGATCCATCATATTTTCGTCCAAGGCCGTATTCTAGAAGGTTCCATGGGCTGCTTGGTGACTAAGTTGTCCATTAGGGTTTAGACTAAAACCCTAGCAGCCTACAGTATAAATAGAGGCCCTTGTTTGCAATTTTCAGCCACCTTGACTCCAAGAGAAACCCTAGGCCGATTTTAGCATCCTCCCTCCTCTCTCATAATAGCCTTCTTTCTTGTGTGGTGTTTGTGAACCATTAGAGGAGTTACAATTGTGACTCTAAGCTCAAGATCAAGAAGAATCAAAGGATTTCAATCCAATTGAAAGAGGTAGTCACTTAGATTTGTTCTTATAGCGTTAATTTCGAACTATGCATGCTAGATCTAGGGTTACAAGTCTTGGATGTATTACATGTATAATAGAGAAGCCTAGATCCAAGCTTTCGGGTTTTGCATGAGCACATAGGATGTTCTTTTGCTTTAAGACCATCAGTGGTATCAGAGCCTTGATTGGACCTTAATCCTCATTAAAAGTATAATGAAATTATAAAGTAACTATACATTATTAATTCCTAATCTTAGTTACTTTAGGAAAATGTGAAATATGTGCTAACCTATGAAATTACACTTTGTACCTTACCAAGTCGTTAGTGGAGCGTGTGTGGTTAACTGGCACACTAATAAGGACTAGTAAGACTGGCAAAGGGTAACTTGACTTTATTATAGATTGGTGGAGCATGTGTAGTTAACCGGCACATCGATTAGGTAATATAGTTAAGGGTACCAAGTTAAATTCCATGGTTATTCACACCTTGTTTGTGATCCTCGGCATCCCAGTCACAAACTTGAGAGGCACAATCGAGATTCAAACATGCCATTGAAAAGTTCAATGTATCTCAAAAGATCTAGGAGTTTCAATTCCAATAAAACCTAATAATAAAATATTCCGTTTTTATGCTGGAAATTGGTAAATCGTCATTTACCTACCTTCAAATATTTTATAGATTGGATTACGGCATCCCTCTTCCAACTATAAAAAGTTTGATGGATCCTAGCCTTAATATTTCATTTGGGTGACTTATTAAGGATTCTTTATCTAATAAAACTTGTCTTTCTTTCTTTCAGATGTCTTCCAACAATGCTGCTGGCTCAAACCATACAAGCTCCTTTTCCCTTATGAACTTGTGTGGGAAAGTCACGTTTGATGGATCCAACTTTAATGAATGGATCAGAAACATCATAATGATTACCCGCTATGAAGACAAGGAGTATGTCCTCGATAGGGAGATTAAGGTTGTGAATGAAGCCACTGCTACTCCTGAAGAGTTTGCGGAGTTTCTTGCACATGAGAAGGATGCTACTAAAGTGTCCTGAAGAGTTTCCCGAACTTCAAAAACCCTATGAAGATTTCTACCCCTATGAGATGCACCAGGATCTGATGGATAGGTACCATCAGAGTGCGCGTCAGGATAGGTATGAAATCA